CTGTAGCACTCTCCTCATTTATTGGCATTCCTAGTAAAAATAGCCTATTAAATAAAACCTTACAAATACTACATTTTTTGTTACAGTATTATAATTTTTAGTAAAAAAAAAATCCAAAATTAAATAATCGCTTTTATGCCCTGACTAGATATTTCAATAGAATGTGACTAATAAATTTTTTATGTTTTTTTTTGTTTGTTTTGATCAATTTATTGGTTTTTGAATAGCAGTAAATTACTTCCTGCTTTTTTAAAGCAAAAAAAAAAAAAAACTGCAATTAATGTAATATTTTAGTAAATAAAACATGTAAATTGTAAAAGATTATGGAAGTTGTTAACCTGTTTCCAACAAACCTAATGGACCGTGACATATGTCATCAGTGTTCTTCAAAAACGAAAACATAAAATATTAATTTTTGGAGTATTTGCATGTATGTTGTTGTCTGATGTAAATTATTCCATGTAGTCTGAATTGTGAATTATTAAACAGAGCTGCTTAAATATTATACAGCTTCAAGGAGCTTCTTTCACATGCAGTCTTAAAAAGTAAACATACCATTTCAAAATGCGCAAACATTTCTAAATAATTTAATTTAATGATGAGGCGGGGCCCAGTGGAGCAAACAGAGAATCTGCTCAGTGTTATGAAATATTAAATATTAGGGAGCTAGGTCCAGACAAATGTCAGAAAAAAAAAAGTTTTGTCTTTTGGGCATCAAAAGCTCCTTGTTCGCTTTTTCTCTAAATTGACTTATCTCGAAATAATTTGCAGTGTTTTGTCTTTTTGTATATTTTCAAACTATTGCATAAACTTGGATTTATACTGCAGTTTTAGAGCATTCTCAGAGGCTTCATCCAATTCGTTTCAGACTATTTAAGTCACATCTGACCGCTCTGACTCTGTACTCCTTCCCTCCTGGAGCAGCGTCTCCATCCTCTCTGCTAGTTACGCTTAATTATGCTCACCTGGCATCCCCGGTGTAAATTAGTCTCTTATTGAAAAGCTGGAAATGAAGGAATTGCAGTGGAAATAAGAAAGCAACAATGAAAACCTGAGATACTAAGCGTGGGAATTAGTCTCTCCTTGTGCTGCACAGTCCATCTGTGATCTCCAGAGCATTGCTTGAGCTATTTTAGGAGGAAAACGCTGCAGCTTGCTTTTTTACCTCCATGCAAACATCTCTTGTTTCTCAATGGTTTTTCTTCCTTTATTTCACCAAAGAAAATACACAGAGCCTCTGGATTTTTATTTTATTTAATTTCATCACCACTGGTAAAGTGGTAAAGATGGATGAAAAAGTCTTCAAATACAAATTGGATTTCAATTCTGCCTCATGAGATTTTCAATCTTCTCTGAAAAGTTCTGAAAATTTGAGGAGGAGATGACGACATAATACTAACACACTTGCAAAAGGCCTTTGGAAATGGCCCCACAGCATGTCTCAAACAACCAGTTTGGATGTAGGTAGCGCCTAAAGGTTACCATGGAAACGTGGTGAGTGCAGCTCTTGAATAGTGAGCTTCGTAGGCTTGTTTTATCTGCAGCACCTTCATAAAGCTCATCAGCAGAAGGAAGACCAACGACCTAGAGAGCTTCCTGCAATATGGCTGTTTACATTTCAAAAATTTTAATGGAATAAACTACATAAATTTAACTTTTTAAAGATGTCTGTAGTTTTTAACTTAATGTTTGCTCCGATTCTTGCTTTCTGTTGAACACTAAACCTGGTGAATTGATTTTTTTTTCTTGTGAGTTAGGCAAACACACATTGCACTTCAGTTTAACTTTAATATAAAAAAGAAATAAAAGCATTTGTAGAGAATTTACATCTAAAGAAAGAGTTTCTGTAATTTTAAGGAGTACCAATCTGATCTAAACTTGAAAACTCATTTCTTTACTCTGATTCAAATAATAATAATAATAATAATAATAAAAACATATTCTGTCCTCTCAGATCCGGTTGGGCATGTCTTCTAAGCTCAACTATTTAGCAATGTCATCTACTCCTCATGTTATGGAAAAAGCATTTGGAGGTGAAAATTCAAATAAGAAAACCATATGCCTTGATACAATTAACTCTTCCAATTTTGTCAAAATTTGACAGCCAGGAAATACATTCTGAAATAAATCCTATATTTAAGTGTGAGTTTTGTACCAACAGAAGGCACATAGAATGAGTCAAAACACACAATATGAAACTGATAGACAAATTATTCTGTGTAATTGTAAGGCTGATTCACATGTTCAAGACACAGGTTTCAAATAAAACATTGCTTGTGTGGTCTGTCAAATGTACACAGCACTATAGGCTGCATTATTAATAGGTTGTATAATACACTACCATGGAAACAAGTGCCAGAGTTAAATCCAGAAAAGCAATAAAAGCTATAGATATCACAGAGTCTGCTTGTTCACACAGGGAATATATGTCAATACAGCAAGAGGCCTAAGTATCAGCCAACGGCCTCATTTATTAAACTTAAATAGCATTCAGAAATTGTTTAATCTTAGCTCTTCAGAGTGCCATGGCAACAGCTGTTTCTTCAGTAGCATTAACATTGGTATGTGACTTGAGACTGGCTCTCAAACTGATTTGGATGCTGGAGAAGAGTGCAACAAGGGCTCCATCTAGTGGTGCACAGTGGCAACTTAAAGGCAAAGAAAAGAAATGATTGAACTTATAAACTCGAAGAATAAACTTGTAAGAATGGTAATTTCCTTCAAATATCACTCAAAAATGTGTAAAATACAAAACAAAAAAAATCTGCAACTCTACGCAGCCTATAAATTACGGCAGTACAAAATTAGACATTTGAACAAAACCAACATACATAACATCCAAGACAAATTTCAATGCAGTTCATATCAATTTTATTTAAATTAGAAATCAATTTTATCAAAACTTTCAAGTTTTCAGGACAAACACTGACAGTGCAATAAAGGACTCCATGAAAAACACGACATACTGAACAACAGGAAATCACAAAACAAGACAAAGCCAACATGTTACAGGGTCTCCAACAGTAACACGGAACTTAATACATACAAAAAAAGGCAATTACCTTCTTAACAATTCATCCGTCAATGCAAATTATTCTCTAAACATCTCTAAAAGTATATGTACACACACACACACACACATATTTATTTAAACCCCTGCCAGTACCAAGTGAATATTAACACTAAATAATATATGGAGATGCCAATTTAGAGCATTTAAGCTTTTTCTTATGTGATTAAATCCAGCATTACTTGCTTTTTTAAGGATCATTAAGGACACTTTTTAAAAGTCGACATTGCTTTATACTTCAGCTGTCCATCTTGTAGCAGTATACTATTTTACCTATGACAAACTGTATGAAAATTGGCGTGACAGAATAAACTAATCAATAATTAACTTGATCCTCTTATTTAAAGCAAAAACATACACACACAAAGGTCATTTAGCACCAGTCCTTTGGAAAAATACTGTTGTGGATTCTGTGATTAATGAGCGAAGCAAACAGCATTTTTGACCAATTAAAACAATCATTTGAGGAGTCCGCCATGACGCACAGTTTTCACAAGTCAGAATCCAGCAGCTGAGCAAAATCATCAGGTCACTTTGTATCCATGGAAATATCTTCTGTGTATCCCATAATCCTTTGCAGTTCCTCAATACATGGGACTATCAACTGGCTTTGCAGCTGAGCCATCTTAAACCTGGATCAGAAGGAAAAGTGACATTTATCGTATTTCCCTTATGAAAGTCTCCTTCAAACAAACGGCATGACATATCCTAGAAACAATAAAAGCAGCGAGGCTACCCGGCTCAGGTGAACGTTAGCACTTTAACTGCTAACCCTAATTAATCGGCATATTCATCTTCAAAAAATTGAACGAGTTCAAACAGCAATCACAAGGTAGACCTGAAATCTGCACAAACTTACATTGAACAGGCAGCAAACTGAGACTCCAGTTCATGTTGCTTCCCTTTAGCTGGATGTCTATGCTGGCAGCCAACCAATCAGCAGAGCTCATCTTAAAACTGTTTCTTAGTTTATTTATTCACGTCAAATTCAGAGTATTTTACCGGACTTTAGATCATTATGAAACGGCGTACAAACTGTGAAGTGAAAGGATAATTACGCACAGTGCTCAAACCCACTGAAAAACTCATCTATGAGGGTCTTACTAATAATTTAAGTAAAACCCTCATATATTCTCATGGTTTTCCTGCATTTATCTGCAGGAAAACCAGCCTTTTCCTCCCTACTTACCTTACGGCCAGTGAGAAGTATTTAAAATGCATTTAAAAACACAGGAACATTGTTCAAGCGGCGTTAAAAGCCTGCGTTACCTCCTGAGCAGTTCCTGTCCTCTGCTGGGCTCTGGGCGGTAGTGCTGGAGCGCAGCCAGGCTGTGAGCAGCCAGGATGCTGTAGCACTGCTCTCTCAACGCGTTGTGGTCGGCGGTGTCCCACTGCGGTAAATCACCGGTGTATCGCCACGCCATGAGGGAATGCTCCAACACAGCATCCCACTCTTTGTTCCTCAGGAGAACCTGGCCCCACTCCTGACATGAAACCTGAGGGGGGATGACGCAATCAATACAGAGGAGTCCGATGGAGTTTTAAAAGTATGTAAAATAATATATTCATCAAAGTCTATTTTTTATATAAACAGAAAACTGCCTTCCACTAAGTCCCCCCCGTTACACAATTTTTACCTTTATTGTATTGTTACACATACTTTGAATGCCACCAGGTGAGGATAGGCCTTTCTGTAGCAGTGAGCGTCCCGGTTGGAGCCGAACCGGGAGTACGGGATGGACCTGTAAACGTTTATCTTCTTCAGCTGGAGGTCTTCCTGGAGACACTTGAGGTCTGTCGCCACCATTTTGGGCTCTTGGCTCTAAAGACAACGCAGCACATCATGTTTTAGACCAAAGCAATAACATTTTTCTTTTTTTTAAACTTTAGAAATACTCAATATCCACACACTGTAAAGCTCTCTTACCTGTCCAACCAAGATGAGTGATCTGATGAGCTGAACAAGCTGCTGTTTGGAGAGTGGAGTGGGATGATCGTCCATCTTTTCACACTGGTCCTCGATTCTTTCTCCCCACACGCCACCGAAGGACAAATCCACTGAAGTGTACAGAATACTTATCATTTCCCAACCTCTTCAGATTAGGTACAAACTCAAAAATGTTTTATAGGGGTAAAGTCCAAATAACTTGAATGCTTCTGAAGCATAATCAAAGTAAAACTTAAGTTAAAATTCCAATTATAATTTTGTATTAAAATGGGTTATGTGGCTCTTTGTCCAGGGCAGAATGAGCAATAGAGGGGGGGTTAATCTGTCACTTAAGTCCAAACATGTCCAGTCAATAATAATGATTTCCCCACATTTTGACTGGGTGTTTGAATTAATTGTCAACCATTTTAAGTACAAGTCAATCCGTCAGTTTTTTAATCCTTTAGATGCACCAAACAGATAATAAGGGAACTAAGTTGTTTTGCTACTCCCACGACTTTTAATTTTTATTTGTATTAACTTGTTCCTGTTATCTATACAGTGCAAATCATTTTTGATGGCGGAGTCCGATTTGTGCAAGAACTGCCGCCATGTTAAAGCCCAACATGTGTACTTTTAACACTTTAATGCATCCTAATTCAAGTCTAGAAGGATATGGAAAAGACAGGAAATATAGCTGAATTATTTAGTAAGCAAAGTATTTAAAAAAATTGGAGCATGTATTGTTTTAACACTATCCACCAAAGAAAACGACAGATAAGTTCTGGATTTTGACCCTCGCCAAACTCACAGAAATCAACCGACTTGAAAGTACTCAGTTAATTAAATCAGCGCTCAACTGTTTAACTTGAAAGAAAATGATAAGACTTAGAAAGGAAATAGAGATGGAATTCACAGGCCTGTCCAAATTAAATGCAATAAATTCCCTTATGTTCCCTGTGCATGTGTCATATAAAACACAAACCCTGCAGCACATTAGCTTTCATGGTGCTGTTATTGTAGTTTAATACTTACAAGAGTGTGCTCGCTTTGTGTTTGGGTTTCTACTGCTTCTTGGAAGTGGAACAGGGGCGAAACGAGCTCCGAGGATTTCTAAGTAAGACCTTCTCATTCGAGCTGGGAAAAAATAGGACAAGAATTTAAATAATAACAAACAGTTCACAATTTGTCATTTGTTGTTTCTGCAGAAAACTGGAAATATTTTAAGTTAAGAATAAATGAACAAAGTTTTAATTAGCATCATGGTAACGTTAGCATGGTAGCAAGGGAGCTGGTAGCATAAACAGCGTCACTGAATGATCGTTAAAATGCGAACAAATACCTTTTCTGTGTTTGATTCAGACTTACTCGCAATTTTAGGTTGTGGAGCAGGTATTTCCACCAAGGCACGTCGTTGGTGACACATCGCCGACATTGATACCAAACTTCTCTCAGTGAAGGTTTGGAGCTAACTACCTGCTAATAATATAGCCAGAACTTTAAACCCCACGGGGTGTACGATAAATACTTCTCTGCTTTGGCAGCCGGGCTGCGACGAACCAGACAGCCAGCAACTCCTTTAGGGATGCTATATAGTTACCTTTTATCAACTAAGCACTGTAGGTGAACACATATACGCATACCGTAAACTTTCTAGAGCCCGAGACAAGAAGAAGTCTAAAACTTTTGTCTACCGGGACAATGCTTTGAGAAGCGCGCTACACGAGTTGCCGCGCGGGTGTGGCTCGTTTCTGCATGCTCCAAACTGATAGGCTGACGTGCGTAAAGGACGCGCCTAACATGCTAATGAGCCCATAGAATGAGCCAGGCTCAGGCATCCCGCCTACCCACGTACGCTGCTGCTGGTGGAGAGAGTCACGTAAACCACGCAGGAACCATTATACGTAAAAAGAGCCCATGCATTAAGATTTCACCAAGTATTATCTCTTTCCTATAATTGTGTAGAGTATTTATCATCTAATTTTACACTAAATTGTGACAATATTTTTTTCTATTTAGCCAGAACCACACTGAAGAAAAATACCCCAATAAATATGTTTTTTAAAACATATTTTCTAATCTCACTTTTTTATTCCTGAGAAATATGATTGCACCGATACATTTACCTTGTTTTGCTCACTAAATAAAATGTAAAAACGCCTGAAGCAACTTGGTACACTCTACCCCAACACCTAGTTTTGTCCATTTTAGCTGAAATAACCTTAGTGGGAGGCTTGTTGAAGCCTTTGGTCTCTGATATCAGTCTGATGAGACTTGGGCCCTCTCCTCACATTCATCTGTGAGATATTTGAGGGGTTTCTTGCTTGTACACCCCGTTTCACCATACATTTCAATACAAATATGACCTCAGCTGAGGACTTTCCTTTTGTTCATTCTCAGCCATTTCTTGAATACGGAGTAGAATTCCTACTGGGTTTTATGATGGGGTGCGAACTGCAGCAAATAATCCCCAAACTTTGAGACTTCTACCTCCATAGTTCAGAGTTATGAGACTCGTTCTATGGAATGATGTGTTTTGCAATTGTCAAACAATCCTCTGTTCTGGTCTCCGAGTAATTACATTTTAGGGTCTTCTGTTCAAAAAATATTCTTGCATAAGTACTGGTTATGCAAGACTGGTTTAGTCTGGCCTGTAAAATTGAGTAAAGGTTAGAGGTATCATGATTACATTTTAGGATTTTGGTGACTTGTTTTAGCATGTTGTGCTTTGCTCACAATGAACTTGCTTGGAAAACCTGGAAAATGGAAAGTGGTGTTTTCAAATGATTTCATTTATTAAGGGAAAAAAGTTGTCAACAACAACCAAAAGTTTTATGTCCTTTTGAATTGGAAATCACAAGAGTTGCTGAAAACATCATTTTAAACTCAGAACACATGAAAATGTGTAAAAAAGGCAACAGCATACATAATTGGCAATATAATATAAATGTGTACAAAATAAAAAAAAAAGTTCCCCATATTAACCCGATGAAAGCTTTTAGGAAAATGACATGAATGAACAGTCATTGAAAAAATCAGACTGAAAAACAATCCACAGAAAGGCATATATGTGTAAAACATATTTTAATAGTTTGGTGGATTATTGCAAAAACAAAAAAAAAAGCTAATTTAATTTCTTCTTGATTCTTCATATGCAAAAAGAAATCAAATAAGCAGAAAAAACACAATTTAAAGCAAAAAAAAAAATTAAATAAAAGTAACATTTGATCAAAGCAAATCAGATAAGTCGGAATATTTGCACAAAATTGCCGATATTACATTGGTATGGTTTTAAATATGTTTTGTGGGAAATACCTTAATAATTTGTGTTTTGCTCAAACATAATACAAAATATGACAGAGTAAAGCAATGCTATGATACTCTAAGTCATTACTATTTAAAGCATTTTTTTTTCTTTCAACAAGCAAAAGTGCAACAATTTAATATAATACTTTTCTCAGTCATTTTGACAGTGTCAAATTTCACCTAAAACTCTAAAATAGTTTTCTTTTTTTAAATAATTATTATATTTCTATTAAAACTTTACATAAACTGACTGAACATAAAGTGCCTTCCCTTCATCCCTGCAAGATATTAAAGTAAGCCGAGTTCTTCATGGCTTCACCAAAGTGCTACTTCAAATAATAATACAGTATTAATGTACATTATATACACTTTAAATAAGTTACATAATGCACAGGTAAAAGGGTACAGTATCTACTAGGTACATTTATTACAAAGGTTTATAACAGTATGGCTTTGTAAATATACATTATAATAATGTCATCAGTAAAAGTATGTACTCTCTTTAAGCGTTTTCAATAACAAGTCATTTTAATGTTAAGTTTAATTGCAATAAATGTATATTTAGATGTAAAAACCACCTAGACACAACAGGAAAACAGCTGACTCTTTCAGAGAACTTAAAACAGTAAAATGTCTAAAGACAGACTTCTACTGACTGCATAGGCCATACTATAAAGCATTGGAAATAGCCTCTACTTGCTTAGCAGCGTTTTAAGGGAGCGGGTGAGTGCGTTAGCAATAGCCGACATGGTACTGGAGTGGCGGACCAGGGCTTTCACGCTGTGCTCCCCAGGGGCACCTACAGTCGCAGCTTCGGCTGCTTTGAGCAAACAAATATAGTTCATAACAACCTCGTCGACTTTTGCTACGACTTCTCTTTGCTGCTGTGATGCTGAGGCTCCAAGTCCCCGAACTAGACACATACAAGCCTCACACAGACAGCATAGCACCTGAAAGCTACATGTAACAGCTAGCAGCATTTCATCTGGACTGCCATGGGCTTGTGCCATTCTCCGGCATGCCCGGCCTAACTCTTTTGACTCGACGGAAAGGAGCTGCTTGTACTGGGAAACATCGTGGATAGGCATCTGGGCACCGCGGTCGCACCGACCGACACTGGATCTCACCAGTGCAATGAGCTCGCTGGCATCTCGACGAACGTCGTTAAAGCCAGAAGGAAAGCTGTACATGCGGTCCTTGAGAGCGTTGATTCTTGCCAGACGGTCACTGAAACTCATGTTGTCAAGGACCTCTCCATACAACTGCTCATCCACGGCCGAGCCATAGAGGGTTATAGTTGCACCATTATTGTCAATATTGCTCCCAACACGGCTTCCTCTAGGCCTCTCCCACTCAATTTCGTCATCTTCTCCCTCGGTCTTACGTTTAAAGAAACAGTAGCTGAAGGGGCCATTGCATCTCCAAGGACTGGTGTCCAATTTTTGAGAGCCCTTCGTATGCTTTGAGTCTTTTTGTAAAGGAAATGCAACAGATGCCCTTCTACTGTCTACCCCACTGCCTGAGGACCAACAAGTTGCATGTGAAGACACAGATCCTTGGGAGTAGCTCTTGGAAAGACGTTTTCTTGCTTGTCTATGTTGGACTTTGGTGTCACTCTGATGAGACAAAGGTGCAGACAAGGGTTGCTGGCTCCGGCTACGAATAGACTTATCAAATAAAGCCTCCACACTTCCAGAACTTGCTGTCACATTGCTTGAGCTGCGTTTGAGCTCTCTTCCTCGTTGGATGCTACTGCTGAAGGGGTCTGTCTGTAACAAAATTGGTGCAACAGTCTGAATGTGGTTCTGGTTTTGCCGCAACTGGATGGGATGAAGGGAATCTTGAGGGCATCCTGAGTTGCTAGCACTGGTGTTTGATGGCACTGGCAGAGATAAAGGAGGAGGTGGTGGTAGAGGTGGCGGTGGAGGAGGTGGAGATTGCGGATTATGTGTTGGAGATGAAATGGTAGTTCTAGTCCGATTAGACGACTGTCTGATGAAAGCTGATGGATGGTCACCCTTTCCTAGTGAGAGGGCATTGAGGTCTGCACGTTGACCACTCAAAGTAGGAGCAGTTGAGAAACAAAAAGAATCATTAGGTCGAGGAGTCTGAAAAGATGCATGTTTCAACCTCGAGTCTGATCTGAATCCTTCCTCTGTGCTTCCACTTGGCTGGCTTCTTGAGCGAGGTGGAGGGCGGTTACTGTTGCCTAAAAAGTCACGATTTTGGCTTGGATTCAAAGCCCCGTCACGGTTCATACAGTCTTGTCTTTTAATGTACGAGAGAAATTGCTCTGCATCCATACCATCTCTGCCAAGGTCACTTTCTAGACCAGAAAAGGAGCTCCTTCTCTCAGCGGTAGCTCTCCTAAAATCTAAACCTTCATTCAGTCTCTGAACTTGCATGTCAGGGCTTCTTTTGAGTTTGGCAGGAAGTGTTGCTGAAAGGTAAGACCTTGAATTTTTATTTGACAACTGCATTGGGGCTGAATGAGGAGCTACCAAATTAGGGCTGAGAAATGGAGATGACACAGACGAAGGCATACAAGGACAGCGAGCAGTGGTGTTCCCTCTATTCTTAACCATTTCAACTAGCTGAGGGTTGCTTGTGATAAAGCGTCTGGTGTCTTTTTTAACTGCCCCTCCCATACCAGCACTATGCAACTTCCCTCCCTGATGCATCTGACTCACTGTAAGATAGTTTATCAGTTGTCTGTAGGCCTCACTGCCTTCCTTTGGGTTAAGCCCCTTAAAACAGGCTTGTTGTTTAGGATAGTTGTCATTGTGGTGCTTCTTGCTTCCAGTGCCTGTCACTTCCTTATGCTTGGATGGAGTTGCTGAGGAGGGTCGACTTGTTTCCCCCCCAGCAAGAGGGGGGTGAATATTGGGCAGCATTTTACGAAGGAGGGCAGGGTCTGCATGCGGATGAAGTTCTTTGTTTTGGGTGTTCTGGTTCTGAAATCCGGTTTTGTTGTCTTCATAGTTTAGCACTCTAAGCAGGGAGGAAGAAGAACTCGAAAGTGGGTGCTTTTGCGAGCGATGTTGTTTGGACTCAACAGCGCCGGGGCCAAGAGGAGAGTCAGTCGGCGTGGCACAGGCACTGCTGTTTGTGCTGCCACCTGCATCAAGTGATGAGCACAGAGAGCCCTGCAACGAACTGTGGCCTTCTCCTTGCAAATTTGAAATCCTTTTGGCCAGGTGGTACTCACACAACCGTGCTACACTCTGTTGTCTTGAAATTGGCTGATGGTCACTTGGTGTGTCCGATCCATGTTCAGAACCTCCTGTTCTGGACTGTTTGCTCGGGGACAGTAAGGACGCTACAACTAGATGCTCATCCTGTTCAGCAGCCGCCGCTCCGTTACCTGCTTCACAGCCACCCATAGTGACCACATCTAGGAAGCGATCGGAAACAGTTGAAGAAGGGCGAAGATTATTTCGATGGTCGCGAGCTGGGCTTGTTACTCCACTGCCCTGGGCTACGGAAGACGGAGAAGCGACAAAGGAATTCTGTCTCCTCTTAGCTTCTTCCTGCTCGCTGAATGAAGCATGCTGGTTCAAATCCAGATAGCTGCGCCTGTCATTGATCTCACTTCGAAGTCCTTCTCTTGTGCTGAAGGTGTTGTACTTTCCACTCGAGTGTACAGACTTTTTCTGGTGTTTGCCTCCTGGCGTTGTCGAACTCGGACGTTGAAGAGTAACCGAGAGAGTAGTCTGGGGTTTCAGCTCCAATCTGTCCGGCCCCGACGATGTCAGGTCTAGCTGGGGGCTACGTCTCGGAGGAACTGCTGGAGGCTGAAGGTGTCGTGTTGGACTACGAGGTTTCTTTTCTTGTGTTGTGCATGAATTAGGTGAGACTGGGAATTCAGTTTTCTCCTCAAGCAACGGTTGGTATCCTTCTCGTGTGGCTACAAGTAAACGCATGTGGCTGTCGGTGAGTCTATGAGTAGCAGCTAGCTCAGAGATCTCAGTCATCTCTGAAGAGTTAGTCTCGTTGCCAGAATCTGAGGATGATTCTGGGCTAAATCCGTGAGATGTGCAAATACCTAAGAAAATACAAAGATTAATATTAATCATGTAACAAAAGTTTAACTAATATTTGTAAGAAGTGAGATATATGATTATTTTATCCTGTTTAAGATGTAGCGGTTGATGCTTCTTCATGTTTGTTACCTATATGTGCTTTGCTTTGTTTACATGTAACAATGCACAGCCTGGATTGAATTCATGACTCTATTTTCCTATCCGAGTGTTCTTCATGTTTTAATGGATGAATTCTGCTCATTTCCTTTACTCCAATTGGGAAAGTATACAAGCTTACACGCTTGCAAGTTTCTAATTGTTCAAGCAGAATAAATTAGAATTAATAGGTTTCACTGTACAAACATAATGCAATGTTTCAACTGGAGAAAAAAAAAACATGCAGACATGTTTAATCTCATATGTAATGCTAATTATCAATGCAGAATCTGTGAGGATTAGGATTAACTCTGTTTAGCGTATTGCTGTTGCTTTTCTCACTTATCAGCCTTATACACTTTGTCTATGTTTGTCTGGAACAATCATCTCTCCATTGACTACACAGTCCAGAATGCTGCAGCTTTACTTTTAACTAGCACTAAAGAGCATCACCACATCACTCCTATCCAGTCATCATTTCCTCAGTTCCCATCTCTTTCCGGATTGATTAAAAAAATTGTACTATACATTTTTCACGTTTTAAGTGGTTTGGCCAGCATCTTCTTGCACTGATTTTTTTTTGGCTGCGTCTTTTTTTAACTTTTTAATATATGTATTGTAAATTTTAACAGGTTTTTTTTCTCTT